CTCCCATGCCTTGCCATGGCGTGTATCTCCTCTCCATTCGCGCAGTCGGATGCCGCAGCAGGGCATAGCATCAGATGGCATATCATGGTTTTGAATATCAACGTGTAGCCTGACATAGCATTGGCGTGGCGACACCCCACAGTGGGGAGGGGATTCTGCGGTCCCAAAAATCAACGAATCGGCACCGAATGTGCAATCACTCATGATAATTGTTTCGGGGGGGCATTTTCTAGATTTTGGGGCCTATTTGGAAGGACCGAAAACCATGCCGTGGCATGGCGCTGGAAATAGAGACGCCAGGGCTGCAGCGGGAGCGCGATTCGGAATGAGCAGAAGCGCGGAAATGAGGCCAGCATTGTAGCGGAAGCACGGTTCGGAACGAGCGGTAGCCGGAAAATGAGGCCAGCATTTCAGCGAGAGCAGCATGTGCGGAAAAACCAAGCGAAAACCCGTTTCCCAGGAATCCTATGTGTACAGAACTAGTACGCGGAGGGGGGCCGAACATTTCCCAGACGTCACCGGGGAGAGAGTAAAGTAGCATTCAGACTGTGTAAATGTGGATGAGGACGAGGAGGAGGAGGAGAAGGAGGAGGAGGAGGAGGAGGACCAGTGCAAACCCAAGAGTCATCAACGATGTTGGCATTAACCCTCCCTCCAAGCTCCCTCTTCACAGGCCCCATACAACGGTTCATTTCCATTGAGGGAATTGCCTCGTTGGAAGACAACCGTTTGAAGATCCTGAAGCGTGCCAAAACATTGCTCTCGGGATTTCAACGCCACGTATCAGCCTGTCTGCTACGTCTTGACGATCCAGAATCGTGCCAGAACGCCATTTCTGGGACTTCAGCACAGCGAATCAACAGAACCGCTGCGCCCGCATAATCCTGAATCCTTCCAAAACACCACTTCTGGTACGTTGATCATGGGAATCCGTGAAACTCTTGCAAAGTTAAAAAAAAACGAGTGTGCGCGGCGCTTAGGCGAGAGCCACATTTTGAAAACGATCCGCCTTCAATCCGTGAAGCTCTTGTAAATATTTAAAACGAGTGTGCGCGGCGCTAGGGCGAGAGCCACATTTTGAAAAACCACCCGCCCTCAATCCGTGAAACTCTTCAAATGTGTTAAAACGGATGTGCGCGGCGCTAAGGCGAGAGCCACATTTTGAAAACGACCCGCCTTCAATCCGTGAATCGGTTTGCAATGTTTTACAACGAATGTGGGCGGCGCGTAGGCGAGAGCCACATTTTGAAAACCACCCGCCCTCAAACGAATGTGCGCGGCGCTAAGGCGAGAGCAACATTTTGAAAAGGAACCGCCCTCAATCCGTGAAACTCTTGCAAATGCTTGAAAACGAATGTGCGCGGCGCTTAGGCGAGAGCCACATTTTGAAAACGACCCGCCCTCAATCCGTGAAGCTCTTGTAAATGTTTAAAACGAATGTGCGCGGCGCTAGGGCGAGAGCCACATTTTGAAAACCACCCGCCCTCAATTCGTGAAGCTCTTGCAAACTTGTTAAAACGAATGTGCGCGGCGCTTAGGCGAGAGCCACCTTTTGAAAACCACCCGCCCTCCACTTGTGAAACTGTTGTCACTTTTTAAGCTTCAGAGTCATAAGTGGTGAAGAAGTTCTCCGGCGAAACGCCTGGCCCGCCCTAAAAATTGGCCTCGGGGTGCGACAGGAGGTACCTACAAGGAGAAGGAAAGGAGGAGGAGGAGGAAGAGGAGGAGGAAGAGGAGGAGGAGAAGGAATGGAGGAGGAGGAGGAGGAGGAGAAGGAATAGAGGAGGAGGAGGTGGAGGAGGTGGAGGAGGAGGAGGAGGAGGAGGAGGAGGAGGAGGAATAGGAGGAGGACTAGCCTCCCGCCCGCACCGCGGGCGCATGGATTCGAAGGGGCGGGAGGGGGACTCGTGAGAGCCGTGAGTGGGCCTCTGAGCGGTCACAACTGCGGTGCCGCAAGGCGCTAGAGTGGTGCCCGTGGGCATGCCTGGAGCAGCCAATCGTTGCTGTCTGCGGGTGAGCTCTCTCAGCAGTCACGGCGGCGGTGTTGACGGGCGGCCGGTGGACACTCGGCCAGCGCCAACGTTCCGTCCAGGGCTCGCCCGTTGTTGCTGCTCCAGCCAGGAGTGCCTCTCACAGCCGGGCCGCACAGGCCCCAAGCCAGGAGTGCCTCTCCAGCCAGGAGTGCCTCTCCAGCCAGGAGTGCCTCTCCAGCCCGTTGTTGCTGCTCCAGCCAGGAGTGCCTCTCCAGCCAGGAGTGCCTCTGACATCTCAAAGAGCCCCCCCCAGGACCCACCGAACAAAAAATCCAACGATCCCATTCAGGAGCTTCCCCAGACAATCCGGCGGTGTCTTTGCCTCGATCGGCGGCCCTGGCGCTCCGCTCCACTTCACCGGGGCCAGATGCTCATCCGAGATCCGTTTTGCCCTGGGGCCCGAGGACGGCCCCTGAAGGCCAGGATCGAGAGACAATAGCGCCCGGTTTGCCACAAAGAGCTCCTCTGATTCTGGATCTGCATTTTGGTTGATGCTCAGATTTGTAATGCTTCGGAACTGTGTCGGAAATGCGCCCCAAACGATGCGAACAAGTAGGGCGGACATTCCCGCCTCAGAAAAAAAAGGGCGGCCAATTCAGCAAACGTATGGCGGAAACAGTGACGGCAAAGAAGGGTGGAGGTCGGCATCAAAGGAGCCCGAAAAGTAGGGCGGACATTTCCTTCTTACTTGCAAGATTCAGCAGCGAGCCCAGGAGGGAATGCAGAGGGGGCGGGCCTTTTCAGAAAGCTCGGAAGGCCTCGGGCCTTCTGGGGACGTTTCCTGAGCCTCCTGCGAAGTCAGGGACGGCTTCTCAGAAGGCCAGGGGGCTTCTGAACCGCCTCCTGAGAAGACCCCTCTCGTTTTCCGCCTCCTTCCCCTCCTTCCCCTCCTCCTCCTCCTCCTCCTGCCTCCTCCTCCTCCTCCTCCTCCTCCTCCTCCTCTTTCTCCTCCTCCTCCTCCTCCTCCTCCTCCTCATCCTTCCTCCTCCTCCTCCCTCCTCCTCTACGTAATCCTCCCTTCTAGTCTTCCTCCTCCTCCTCCTCCTCGTCCTTCTCCTCCTCCTCCTCCTCCTCCTCCTCCGCCTCCGCCTCTTCCTCTACGTTCTCCCCCTCGTCCTCCTCCTCCTCCTCCTCCTCCTCCTCCTTCTCCTCCTCCTCCTCCTCCTTCTCCTCCTCCTCCTCCTAGCCGTTCTGGCACTTGCAAGCACGTACTTCAGAGCGGCTCGTGCTTGCGAGCCAATCGACAGTTCTTTCACGCTCGCACCCTCCGCCGTCCCAGGAGGCGGCCGATGGTGCCATCGCCCGATGTCCTGCCAGGTCCGAGAAGCCCCCACTGGGGGTGCGGATGCGGCTGCTGGGACAATTGGGCTTCACGGATCAAGTGCAGGATGTGCAACAAGTCAGCGCCGCACCGCGTCGTCGTCTCGGCTCGTCAGGCAGCGGCACAGGTGCAGTCCCCGTCGGTCTCCACCAAGCCCCACGGTCCCAAGGGTGCTTGGGCCAACGGGCCACCGCAGTCCGACCAGCTGCGCCTCATCCAGGAGCTCCGGGTGCAGGTGGCCGAGCTCAAGGGCGAGCCAGCGCCGTCAACTCCGCCGTGGTACCGAGGCCAGTCTCCGGCGCCAGAGGGCGGCAACGGCGGCTCAAAGGGCGGCGGCAAGGACTCCAACGGGAGCAACAAGCAGGGTACGGCAGGAAGCAGTGGAGGCATCACGTTCAAGGATGTCGTCGCCTTCATGTCCAAGGCGGGTCTTGACACTGCCATCGTGGAGGCGGCCGAGGCGGCTGAGCTCGCCAAGGCAGGTGAGGCCAAGCAGCCGACGGCCCAAGCACAACGTTGGCGAGTCGAGAACCTCCGTAAGAAGATCAACAAGTTGGAAGGTCGGGCCTCCGCGATCGAGGAGCAGAAGCAGGCCCTCGACAAGGAGCTCGAAGAGCTCAAGGAGACGCTCGCTGCGGAGCGGACCAAGCTCGAGGCGGGCGAGGCCACGCTCGTCAAGCTCCAGGCCAGCGAGTTCGGTGACCCGCTCAAGGCCGTCAGCGCGGGCTTGGATGAGGACGTGCTGGCGGACCAGCAGGCCAAGGACGCCCTCGCGGTCCTGGCCCGGCTCCAGGGTGAGGCCAGTGCGCGGCGCCGTGCCGCGGCGGCCCCTCCGGCGGCTCCTGCTGGTGCTGCTCAACCTGGTGCCGTTGCTGGCGGCCCCCCCCCAGGCGGAGCTGAAGCACCAGCCGTCGACGGAGACGGAGATGACATCGACATGGACCTGCTCGGTGCTGCAGACTTTGAACAGAAGCAGGCCGCATTCACCACAGCGGCAGCTGAGCTCAGAGCCGCGTCCCCCGAGCAGCAGGAGGCAGCGAAGCGGAAGTTTGCCCAGGCCGCGGCCGCCCTTGGGGTCAAAAAAGTGCGTCGGCTTTAACAGCACCCTGATGCACTTGGCCCCGAATCCGGAGTACCAGGCGTTCTGGGAAGATAATGCTCCGGATGATGCGTGGCACGGGGTAGCATTCCCAGTCCCCCGACTTCGGCCCGATCGCACCTTCGACGACGCGCGGGTCGACACAAAGTTCACGGCCTCCAGCGGGGCGAGGCTGACGAAGCACGTGGCGCAGGGGGCCGCTGGGGCTGTCGCCGAGGCCGCTGGTCGTGCTGCTGGCTCGCCGCGGCTGGATGCGCAGTCTGGTCGTTCCCCAGACGTTGCCTTTGAATCGGGAGCACCAGGAGACAGTTTAGGAGGAGGAGGCGGAGGCGTCGCTCCTCCTGAGGCCGCTGGGGCTGCCGCCGAGGCTGCCGCCAGGGCTGCCGCCGGGGCTGCTGGACGCGCTGCTCGCTCGCCAGGGCGCCGCGCCTCCCCACTGGGAGGAGGAGGAGGAGGCAGAGGAGGAGGAGGAGCTTCGAGCTTTTCAGCTTCGAGGGCACGGCCACGAGGCCCCGAACCCAGTTCCTATCGAGACGCCTCTCGGCAGGGAGCGGCACAGATTCCCACAGCGGGGCCCGTGTGCACGCTGGATGGGGAGCTCGCCCTTATTACGGCCAACGCGTCTCAGTGGTCGTCGGCGCAGACGCTGATGGAGTGGATGCGGCATGACACGTCGGACGTGGGCTTGCCGCAGGTGTTGTGCGTGCAGGAGCACAGGATCAAGAACCAAGGGTTGTGGTCCTCGGCTGTAAGGTGGTCTCGTCAGAGGGGCTACGAGCTTATTGGTGACTTCGCGGAGGTCACTGGGGACGGACCGCTGGAGTCCAGTGGCGGAGTTGCTGTGTTGTCGAGCCTCCCGGCTGTGAAGGAGTCCAGCCCTGCTCGTCTTCAACTCCCTGGGCACCGTGTTGTTACGGCGAAAGTCAACATTGGCCTTCCGATTCCTTTGTATGTCATCTCGCTCTACCTGGTGACGTCTATAGGTCTGGCTAAAGATAACATTGCCATTCTGGCCTCGTTGCTCTCCTTCCTGGGCGGCCTGGACGGGCCGTGGGTGATGTTGGGCGACTGAAACCTCCTCCCCAGCGATGTGGACACCTGGCTTGGGCGTGCTCGCGGTGTCTGCTTGCGCTCATGGGAGCCCACGTGCGGAGCCAGGGAGATCGACTTCGGCGCCTGCAGTTCGGTGCTGGCCAAGTTTGTTTCCAGAGTGCGTAGGCTGCCGGATGCCCCTGTTCAGATGCACAGCGCACTTCTGGTTTCGTTTAAAGGCTTGACTGTGAAAGCCACCATCACACAGCCAGAGCGGCCCATGCTTTTCCCCATTGCCAAACCTCCTCCTGTCCGCGCTGCGCCTCAGGAGGCGCTTCCCGGGGACTGGTCCTGGGCCGTCGGGGAGGCGCTCCCGTCAGATCTCGGCGAGGCGTGCGCTGAATGGTTCCGTCGTGCCGAAGCCTATCTGGCGGAGTTCCACGGTCTTCAGGAGTGGTGTCAGGGTAGGTGGTGCGGTCGTGACGCTGGGTTTAAGACTGTCACGAAGCCACTTGCCGTCTGCTGGCGGGAGTCCCAGCGACAGAACACCTCTTCTGATTACAGGGTTTGGTCTCGATTTTATTCGGCGGCCTTTCGCCTGGTGTCTCTGGGGTCCGCTGCCAGAGAGAGACGAGAGCCTAAGCTGGCCGCCCTCCGTCGTCAGCGGCGCACGGTCGCCTCCTTCCAGCTTGACTGGCCGTCCGAAGGGCCGCTCAAGGATTGGGCGGGCTCTTCCCCGTCTGAGCTCGCGGAGACTCTTTCGTCGGGGGCCGCGGCGCGCATCCAGGACGCATCCCGGATGTTGATGGATCTGCGCAGTCATCTCGAGCAGCTTCTTCGCCGTGATCGGGATGAAAACTCCCAGGCCTGGAGGGCCTGGGCTCAGGCAGCCGCCCGGGAAAGTGGGGGCAGCGCGGCGTTTAAGTTTGTGCGCGATTCGGTGGAGCCGTCGCACGTCATGACTACTGATGATGGAGTCTGTCAGCCACTTCCTGTGTCGGGCTCCCAGGCGCTGACCAGGATCATGGAAGACTGGGAGCCGCTCTGGGTCTCACCAAGCCGCAAGGGCGAGCAGCACCCATCGTCTTGGGATCTCGACGCCATTTGTGCGGAAGTCCGGAAGAAGGATGAGTCTGAGCAGGCTGCCCCGTCTGATGCCGCTGAGGATCAGCAGGCTTTGGATCCCCTCGAGCCGCTGCCCCCTCTAACGATGGAGCAGCTTGAGCATGTCCTTGGGACGTACTCGTCGTCTGCTGGTCTCGGCTGGGATAAGCTGCACCCTCGGCAATTATTATGGCTGCCTTCGTCGTATCGGAGGGCTTTCCTCGACATTCTTGTTGCCTGGGAGCGCTTGCCTCGGTCGGTTGACCTATGGCTGCTCTTGGTGTTTTTCAACAGCAAGCCCCAGCCCCCAGGTGGTGTTCGACCTATTGTCCTTCTCCCGTTGTGGTGTCGTGTGTGGTCGAGGCTTCGTCAGCCCGTCGCTCGTCGTTGGGAACGCTCTCTGGACAATCCTGCTTTTTGGGGCAATGCTGGGCACGCGTGCGATCGATCAGGGCATGTGCATAATATCCTACAGCGCTTCGCACGGCTGAAAGGATTTTCGGCCACGAGCGGAGTGCTGGACCTCAGCAAATATTATGGCTACATCTCGCATGACGAACTAAAGCGAGAGGCCGTTCGCACGGGTTTCCCGCTGCAGCTGCTTAGGTGCCTATGTGTGGTGTACCGGCTACCACGTCGTGCTATGTGGGAGGGAGCTGTTTCACCTCCGATTGAAGCCAATGGAACAGTTGCTGCCGGGTGTTGGTGCGCCCTGGCACTCGCTAAATTGCTTGTTCACACGCTCATCGTGAAACTTCAAAGGCAGTTTCCAGCGGTCCGCTTCCAAAACCTCGTCGATGATTTTTTGTTGCAGGCTGTCGGGTCCATGGCACAAGTGGTGAACCAGTTTCCCGACGCCATGATGAGCCTGGTGCGCGGCCTGGAGGCCAAGCAGCTTCGCGTTAACTGGGACAAGACAGGATTCTTGTCGAGTTCGAAGGACCTCACTGATGCGCTGTCTGCCAGATGGACCCTCAAGGACGGGGACTGCCTGGTAGGCACGAGGTGGCTGGGCACCGACGCCAACGACGGGTCTGCACGGCGCACAGGCGAGCAGGACAAACGGCTTGAGAAAGCCAAGCGTGTCACAGCCAAGGTAATTCAGTTTCGTGGAGCTGGAGCGCAAGTCAGCACTGTTATGAGGGGGTCTCCTACGGCGACGGCGGTGTGGGGGTCGGCCGTGACTGGGATCTCGGATCTTAAGCTGCACGGGCTCCGGGTCTCAGCCTTACGTGCTGAAGGCCGCCTGCCTGCCGGTGCATCTGTCGGCTTGCGTTTGCGAGCTTCGCCACGTGGTGCATTCCGCGACCCGCTGGTAGTCCACACAGTAGAGGTCATGAAACACTGGGCCCTTGCGGCCATCTCGGCCCTTCCTGGGCGCGGGCCTCTGGAGGCTTGCTGGTCTGCCGGTCTGTCTCTTTTGGCCCGGCCCCGTCCTTGGGCTCAGTGCGTGGACCCAGCACAAGCAGCGCTTTTAAGTTTTGCCCGCGTGGGCATTTCAATGCCATCGGCGTTCAGTTTTGTGGCCCAGGATGTGGAGTATTCAGTGCTTCAGTTTTCGCCCGGCTTCTGCTGCGATCGCGTCCGTCAGATGGCTCTCGACGCGTCTGACGTGATGTCGTTGCGGCGCCTCGAGGGCGCCTGGCAAGCGCCTCTGCACTGGGCTCCTGTCCGTCGCCTCCTGGATAAACGGGAGTCTGAGACGTGGACCGCTCACCATAAGAATGCCATGCGGTCGCTGGTGGGAGGGACCCACTGGCCGCAAGCTCGTTTGTTCGCCCACGGCAAGAGTCAGCACGATCGATGCCTTCTGTGTGGGGAGAGGGGGACTCTGTTTCATCGGCTTTACGAATGTCCGCGCTTGCAGCACATTCGTCGTGAAGAATGCCCCCAGTTCCTCCAGGAGGCGGCTAGGAGAGTCAGGGACAAAAGCGAGGTGCACGGCGAACTCTTTTGTCGCTGCCTCTTCCCCTCCCCCTCCCGCTGCTTCCCGAAGCTGGAGGCTAACCCTGAGCATCTCAGGCGTTGGGTTGGGGTCCCCGTGGGCTGGAGATTTTCGGGGGCGGTCTTCGTCGACGGCAGTGCGTTTCACACCACCTTGGCAGGTCTCTCGCGGTGTGGATGGGCCATAGTCCAAGTTGACCCTGCGGGGAATCTCATTGGTGCGGTCTACGGGGTCATCCCCCCCCATCTTGCCCCAGAGCAGCTTGCGAGAGACGCGGAGGACTACGCGTTTCATGTCCTTTCTGATGTAGCAGAGTCTGATCCAGACAACCCTCTTGTTGTCTACAGTGATTGTGCAGGTTCCATTGGCTGTGCCTCGAATGTGGGTGTTGGGCTTGATCTCAACAAGCCTCGTCGCCACTTCTGGGAGCAGTGGTGGGCCGGGGCTGGCAAGGATGCCAGTGTACATAAGGTCCGCGCCCATGTCAGTCTGGAGTCTGCTGCGGACGACCACGAGGAGTGGTGCATCCGCGGGAACCGCCTCGCTGATTTCTGGGCCAAGAAGGGTGCCAAGCTCTGGGCCGTGCCGCCCCAACAAGTGCTGTTCATTGAGGGCGTTGAGACGCTCGCCCTAACAGCGTCGCGATGGCATGCGAGGGCCCAGCAAATGTTTGGGGCCCTTGAGCTTTCGGACTCGCAGGGGGTGGCTGGGACCTCGGATCTCGTCGTCGATTTGAATGCCACCTCTGAGGGCAGGATGTTGCTGGCCGAGTGCGCCGAAGAGGGGGTGGAACCATATGCCGATGGTCCCTTCGTCCCCTCCACCTCCTCTGCCTCCTGCTCGCTTGCTGCTGCTGCTGCTGCTGCCCCTCCTCCTCAGGAGCCTTTGGGCAGCCTTAGCCTTGAAGGAGTCCCGTGGGCAGTGAACGGCCATTCGGTCGTCCAGGCCTCGGTGGTGTCTGCTCCCGGGGGGCCTGAGATTGAAACAGGCACGAATGTTCTCTTCTGTATGCAGTGTGGAGCCTCGGTAGGTAAGCACTTCTCCAGGGGAGCGGGGCTCGATGCGGCCTGCCAGGGGAGTGATGCCCCAGGTCTCAGGACCCAGAGAGCCCGCCTCAGGAAAGGTCAATACCCAGGTCGACTGAACGCGGTGCTGGAGGCCTACCGCGCGCCCTCGCAGGTGCTGCGAGATCACTGGTGCGCGCGCCTCCCGTCCTTGGCCGGCGGCGGCGGCTTCGAGGACGCGCGGGGGCAGCGTGCTGGATCTTCTCGGGGAGGCGCTGGGACTGGAGTTGGGACGGTGGGATACGGCTTCCAGTTTGCTCCTCCTCTCATTGACCACGAGGTCGCCCGTCTGCATGGCTTCGCTGACCCGTCCTCGGTTGTGTGTTTTATCTCCGAGTACAAGGGCCTGCAAGCTGCAGAGGTCGACATTTTTGAGGTCTGTAGCTTCGAAGATTCGTGAGTTTTGTGACGCGCCCGGTGTGGCGAGCGAGGGGTCTTCCCCTCGAGGTAGTCTCCAAGTCTCCAAGTCTCCAAGCCTCCTCCACCGCCTCCTCCTCGTCCTCCTCCTCCTCCACCGCCTCCTCCTCGTCGTTCTCCTCCTCCTCCTCCTCCTCCTCCTCCTCCTCCTCCTCCTCCTCCTCCTCCTCCTCCCCGCTCCCCCTCCCCCTCCCCCTCCCTCCCCCTCCCCCTCCCCCTCCCCCTCTTCCCCCTCTCCCTCCCCCGCCCCTCCCCCTCCCCCTCCCCCTCCCCTCCCCCTCCCCACCCCCTCCCCCAGTGAGATTTCGTGTTCCCTCTTGGCTAAGATCAAGTGCAGTATCTGTTGTATGATTAGTAGCATGCACGCAGGCTTTGTGTAAGAGGATATTCGACCGTGATCGCATGAATGCTCAAGGATGCGGGTTCGCTAGCTACAAACATTTGAGTTTGGTAGCGGAGCTTCGGCTCCCTACCCTCCACGCGCGGCCCCCG